GAAAATATTTTAGATAGTATATTAAGTCAGGTTTCTTTATTTTTTTTTTTAAATTTTTTTATTTTTTATTTATTTGAGAGAGAGAGAGAGAGAGAGAGAGAGAGAGAGAGAGAGAGAGAGAGAGAGTGTGGTGTGTGTGTGTGGCCAGCTCAGCCCACCAGGGGGCGGGGCTGGCTGGCATGTGGTGCTGGGGGATTGAACCGCGGTCCCTGATGCTTTGCCAAGCTTGTTCTAAGTAGGTGCCTTAGACCACTGAGCCATCTCTCCAGCCCCAAGTCAGGTTTCTTTAGAGAAAGAGAACTAATATGATTCTCTTTCTTTGTCTTTCTTTCTGTCTCTTCCCCTTCTCTTTGTCTCCTCCCTCCCTTTTCTGTCTCTACTTATGTATTATATATACATTATCTATCTATCTATCTATCTATCTATCTATCTATCTATCATCTATCTATCTATTTCATCTTCTATTTCTCTACCAAAAGACTTTAAGAAAGTTACCCATGTAACTGTAGGGCCTGGAAAGTCTAAAGTCTGTACGGCAGCTCAGCATGTTGGAGCCTCTGCCAGGGTTTCTATGTTGCAGGCTTGAGGGAAATTCCTTTACTTTGGGATTAGAAATTGATTTTTCCAGCTGGAACTTTGATATGGCAAGGCCTGGGAAGTCAGCTTACTTGATATCACGGTCAGCTCCTTCAATTGTTTATTATCTAATTACTTTGATATTTTCCTAAATAGAAGAAACACATAAATGGTACTGTTTACATTTTTAAAGGAGAAGGAACTGTAACTATGTACTCTCTATGCAAGTTCTGTGTTGGTTGGCTTTATGATGTTGCTTGATTAGACAGCACATGGATACTTGCCAGGTAGTAGAGACTTGAGAATATGAGGCAAGTAAGACAGCCGGACTCAGATTTGGGAGACAATGTCATCAAGCAAGAGAATACGACCCAAATTTATTTTTAAAGCCATATATAAGTGTCTTAGTCAAATTCAGTTGCATTTCATATGACCAAGTCCTTGAAGTATACTATTATTCCTATATTGGTTGTTTTCTTGTTGCTGGGACAAAACGCTCGGCACACACAGTAAAGAAGCTAAGGTTTATTTTAGCTTGTGGTTTGTAGAGGCTTCAGTTCACAGTGGGTCGGCTTCTAGGCAGGGTGGCATGGCAGAGGGGCATAGCAGAGGAAAAGGTGTCCCTAGTGTAAGAACCGGAAAGTTAATAACATCTGAAAGGTACAGTAGATATCATGAAAGGGAAAGAAAATGCTCAATAGAAAAGAACAAATGTGATGAGGTAAAGGAGAAAAAGAGAGAATGAAGCTAGCTTATGCTAGCTAAGGTAATTGTACTACTAATTTCTATTGGTTTATTGAAAGGAACAGTTAGTTATTTTGGAACCAATATTGCATGCTTATATCTGGTAATCTGAAAAACTATTTTTTAAAATAATTTCATTGAGAAACAAATAGCAATGAGACAGCTTCCAAACCGATTAGTTGGGGGCCGGGGAGATGACTCAGTGGAATAAGCACTTCCCTCGCAAGCACAAGGGCCTGAGTTCAATCCCCAGTTCCACCAAAAAAACCAAACCAAACAAAACAAAACAAAAAAAACCCGATTAGTAGGACAGTTTCAATACTTAATATATTGTATATTGTTGTCTTAGTGGTTATTCATTGTACAAGATGCAGACATTGTATCCTGTCCACAAACACTATTAGAACAAATCTTTCTATTCATTGAATTAAGAGAATGTAGCTGTATATCTATCATAACTATTTTTTTTTAACTAAAATGATGGTTTTTAATGAGAACCAGAGGTATGGTTACAATTACATAGTCCGACACACACACACACACACACACACACACACACACACACACACACACACACAAATCCATGGATGATCAGGAGTTGGAAGGTTACAAAATAATGAGGGTAACACTGGGTACAGGGGGCAAAGTTGTTCCAGAATCTCAGAACCAGACTAATACGGCCTCTCCCTGCGATCCTG